AGTTGGATCTAGGCTGGTACAGATTCACCATCTGTGCTCCATTTCAATAAAGTGGCTAACACTTACATTCCTACTACAGCACAACCTAAGGAAGCTGCTCCAGGAGGGATCACACCTTTGGGAAGGCACTGGCAGGAACAATTCTCTCCATTCGCAGCAGGCAGTGACAAGAAGCCACCACAGGCAGCAGTCATAAGGTTAACCTGAAAAATATTTAACCCTAACCAGAGACAAAGCACTCCAGCTGCAGCTCATGAGTGTTACTTAGCTTCCTTCTAAGCCTCAGACAGTTCATCTAAAAAAATGCAGGTATTAAACAGAGTGGTACTGAACCCAGAGGGCTCCTAACCCTGATTCTTTGGACCAACTTTAAGCCAGGCCTCTTTGAGCTTTCTCAATATGCCCCTCCCTCAGCTCCTTCTTGTCTTCGGCATGTCTAGGTTGATTTTAGAGACATTCTGCTAAGGTAGTTTAGGAAGAATCCCCTCACCTTTGACAGTAAATCATGAAAGATATCACAAGTTCCTCACCCTTCGTTTTTGATGTCTAAGCCCTTGGCCTGTCCTCAGCAAGACTACTGTTAGCTCAGTGCTATGAACTGGTGTTTGCACCTCCAGTCTCTCTGTCTCTCTTTGAGTCTCTCTCTCTCTCTCTCTCTCTCTCTCTCTCTCTCTCTTTCTCTCTCTCACTCTCTCATACACACACACACACACACACACACACACACACACACACACACACAGTGGTAGTTGAACCAGCTATGGCTCCTTTAGAATGCTTGGCCCATAAGAAATGGCACTATTAAGAGGTGTGGCTTTGTTCAAGTAGCCCCAGAGGGAGTGGTTTCCCTTGTGGAACCATGCCCAGGCTCCCTGATTCCCTCCTGTCCTCTGTCCTGGGGAGAGTCTAGAAAGTTTTTCTCTATTGTGTTCTTTGCGAGCTCTTGGTGTAGACTTTGGCTGCAGATTGCTGCTCACTGACTCTCATATTCCCTTGAGAGCAAGGTTTGTCCTTGGGATTCCCCGCATCTGTCACGTGGCTGAGCTATAGACACTTGGAAGCTGTGTATTGAATGAAATACTGAGAGCCATGTGATCACCCCTTCATCTCTAGTGGCCACTAAGTCATTACCTACATAAATTCAGAATAAACAAGGGTTTCTCCCTACTGATTCCTCCAAGAGTGAAAAATTACAGGAAGGTCTGAAGCCAGTTCTCATTGCTAAAAGCAATAACTAAACATCGAAACAAAAAGAAAGGATTTTACAACGTACTTTAATACCAAACATATTGCGAGGAATAGAACAGAAATGACCTATTAGCTCTCAAACCTTGTATATAAGACCATCCACATGATATTCACACCATTTACCCATGGTTCTGAGAAAAATATACTATTGTATATTTTATAAAGTGCAATTAGTAAGACTGAATTTACACCTTTTCAAGAAAATAAAAAAACAATCAAAACATTCAGCTGAAGATCCTAACACACAGGAGGCAAGTTGTCTTCCTTCCTCCCTTCCTTCCTTAGGAAACTAGGTAGCACATCCCATAAACATTCTGCTAGAATACCAACAGTCAAAATGTTTGGAAGGTCCCTCAATCTGCACACAATAGCACACACTATTCTCAGAAACACTTTTCATTTATTTGGCCTGAAAAATCAAACAAATTCAGTCAACATCAGAGGCTGCGTGTTTGTTTTATGTTCCTATATCAAAGCCTGTGATTGCTGGCTTTTAAGGGCCTTTAAAAAACAAGGTGTTATAAATAAGATACAAGTTGTAGATAAAATGAGAGCCATTTTCAAACACTCCAGAAACCACTGGCAACTGTCTACTTAAATATTCTGAATGCTGTTTCCATAAGTCATCTCATTTGATCCTAAGTGTTTATCCTAAGTGTTTATTTAGATCTAAACATAAACATAACAAAGCCTAACCATGAATAGGAAAAAAAAAATACTTGTGAAAAGAGGAGTTCCGCCCCTAAGAAGCCACCAGCCCAAATCCTTAGGTCTTCACATCCTACAACTTGAAGGTGGCAAAATCTACATGTATCAGATTGTCTTACTGTGTGACAAGCTCGTGGCTATGTGCATCCCAGGGAAGCTGGAAAAGAGCTTATCCCTCTTGGAATTTAAAAAAAGGGGATGGGCAGAGGAGAGGCAGAAGCAGACAAACACTGGCACCAGATAGCCAGACAACAGGCAAACTGATTCAGACTGCCCAGTCCCGGTGAAAGGTGTTACGGTAAACAGTAACCCAACCCTGAAAGTGGAGATGCCAGAGGATATGCAGGCGGGCACTCAGCACACGCAGCTTAATTACCTTGCTATTAACTTAGCCATACCCAGACTCATCGCTCAGGACTAAAAACAGGACAGGACGATTTTATAGCATCCCAACCAAGACCACAAATTCAAAACATTTATTAGAACGTACACCAGGAAATGAGAGAACGCAACATACATTTCTAGTGTCAAAGACAAAAAAAGAAATGAGATGCTAACAACACCTTGTTTTTTATATAGCACTCATCTGTGAAAAGCTTAAATACGGTCTACATTTTTAAAATCTAATTATAGTGATTCTAATAACACGCCTGCAACAGAGGTAGAATGTAAACATCTTGCTTCCGCTTAGCTACTGATTTATTTAATCACGTTGCTAGTTAGATTCTGGTTCAGTCAGCGCAGTATCTCAAGCTCCGCAGATGCAAGTCTCTGATTACCCTCCAAAGTGTAGCAAGTAGCAAGTAAGACAAGGTAAGACCTCTAGATTTCCATGCCCAGGTACAAATAAGTAGGGCAAAACTGCTGCAGGGTTAGAAATAAAACCATTTTAACAAGCCAAGGGATCTACTGTTCTTCAGGAGCAGACTGAGAAACAGTTATGATTGCGACTAAATCCATTTACACACAGAAATTTTAGACAGTGAGAATTTACTTCCCACACTCACCAACAGGAACTGACAGCTTTATCCTTCAATGGACAGAAGGAATTCAGCGGAAAGTGCAAGGCTGTAGTATACAGCAAGACACAATAGCCTGGGAAACCAATAGGTTTAGAAACAAAGAGGTGTCAACCAATACTTCAGATCTCAGATATTCATTTTTTTTCCTCTCAACTTTGACACAAAAGAAGAAAGAGTTTGTCAGACAGATGGCTAGGATAAAAGATAAACTTTAAGTGTCTTATTTGTACCTTTCAAGAGCCACTGTAATAAGGAACCTTTAACAGCTGGTATATGATTACAGTGCTAGGTTCTTCCTAAACATGACCAATATGTCTAACTCCTCTCGACAGCAACTCTTGGTGAAATAATTCTTTCTCCCCCTCAATACGACACAGCCAACGGAATACAGACGACTAAACCTGAACACACTCAGGAATTTCCAAGCAGGTCTAAGACCTTTGCAAACACGCTCCTGTCTGAGACAGAAGACCCCTGACTACATACAAGCATCTCACAGACATAGGAGCCCTTTCTCCACAGGTGGTCTTCCCTCTGCCTCCTGTTCATCCAGCCTGCAGAGTCTGCAATGTCAGGAGGGTGACCAACTCACAGATATCTGCCTGCCTGTGCCTGCAGAGTGTTGGGATTAAGGATGCACTACCACTTCCTGCTTACTTCTTATAGTTTACAGGCTGTGATTCCTCTGTTGTTCACAGGCTGGGAAGCTACTACTCTCTTTTAGCCTTGTGCCACTACAATGAAGCCTGCTTAAAATAAATGTTTATTTCCCTCTTCAACCTCCAGACCAATCAATACTCCTAAGATACTAAGAGCAAATTTTACAATATCCTGAGGAAAGTGTCTGCCTCAATTCTGGCTTTAAATAAAGCTTGGTAAATACTTAAATATACCAGCGCTATTGTATCCCTTGGTGAAACAAAAATTTTAATGTATTACCTTGACCTCCACAGTATCATAAATTATATCGTATCATGTTTGAAAAATTTTACTCTTTCTAAGAGTTAAATCACAAGGGCTCATTATCTCTCTTTCCAAACAGAACTGACTCTGATGTGTGCCATCAGTTAATCTAGACTCCAGACGATGCTGACTGTAGGAGCAATGGATGACTAAACAGACCCTAGTCCCAGTGTGGGACATCTCCATAGTCTGGGAGGCCCTGAAGCCCCAAACCATACAGGATCTTAGTCAGCCCTCCTAGCTGTTCTGGTTTGATGAGGAATGCCCCCACAGGCTCGGGTATTTGAATACTTGGCCGGCGGGTGTGGCTGCTGTTTGGAGAGGTTTGGGTGGTGCAGCGTTTATCGTATCCCCTCACTTCCTATTTGTTCTATCTGCTTGCAGTTAAAGATGTGAACTCCCAGGTTCCTGCTCTTGCTGTCATATCTGCCCCTCTGGAATCATAAGCCAAATTTAAACTCTGCTCCATAAGGTCTTCTGGCTGCGGAGCCTTATCATAGCAGCACAGAACTACCAATTCTACCGTCTGTCCATCAGAATTAGAGGATGTGACCCCACTGCTGAAGCTACCATGTGCCTTGCTGCAAGACAGAGAAAACAGGCGAGAACAGAGCTTGAAACGTCAACCCTGTTGTCTAGCTTTCAAAGTTCTACAAGGTACTGATGTGGAATTTGTCTCTGTCATTTCCAGAGTTTTGGAAGTTGCTTACTTCTGGTTTACTTAGGTAATATATCCTTCTGGAGTCTTTGATGGAGTTAAAGAATGGATAGTCGTAGTTATAGTTTTCCATTATTATGATAAAGATATAGTTATAAATATTGTGACTGTAATTCTTGCTTGATAACTGTTTTGTTATGTGTAATTTTACTATGTTAAAATGAAAGCCTTTCTTTTTTGTTTAAACAGAAAAAGGGGAAATGATGGAGGAGGGTTATCTGTCTATTGTGTTATTTTCATTGGTCAATAAAGAGACTGCCTCGGCCCCTTGATAGGACAGAAAATTAGGTAGGCGGAGTAAACAGAACAAAATGCTGGGAAGAGGGCTATGAGCCAGACGCCATGGAGCCAGCCACCAGGTCAGACATGCTGAATCTTTCCCGGTAAGCCACACCTCGTGGTGTGATACAGATTATTAGAAATGGGTTAATATCAAGATATGAGAGTTAGTCAGTAACTAACTCTCTAGAGATAATGGGCCAGGCAGTGCTTAAGTGAATATAACTTGTGTGTTATTATTTCTGGGACTAAGCTAGCCGTGCAGGAGCCGGGCGGGATGAAAAGCAGGCCTGCCCGCAGCTCCTTTCTACAGGAATTCCCCTCTGTATGCTGTGATTACCATTAATGAATAAAGAAAGCTGGCTTGAGCCTATAGCAGGACATAACAGAGGTAGGCAGGGAAAACTAAACTGAATGCTGGGAAAAAGAAGGCGGAGTCAGGAGAAGCCAAGGAGCCACCGTCAGAGACAGACCCGCCAAAACTTTGCCAGTAAGCCACAGCCATGTGACGATACCCAGATTAATAGAAATATGTTAAATTAAGATGTAAAAATTAGCCATTGAGAAGCTAGAGCTAATGGGCCAAGCAGTGATTTAACTAATACAGTTTCTGTGTGGTTATTTCAGGGTTGAGCAGCCAGGAACAAACAAGAGGCCTCCTACTACAATGTGCAATGCAGGTTGTTGACGGAGAAAAATGCACCATTGCTCTTATCCATCTGTTGTTATGGGATTCCCCTCTGTATGCTGTCAATATGTTTTATTACCATTGATTAATAAAAAAGCTACTTTGGACTATGGCAGAGCAGAATATAGCTAGGAAGGAAAACTTAACTGAATGCAGGAGAAAGAAAGCAGAGTCAGACAGTTGCCATGTAGCCGCCCATGAAGTAAGGTAACAAACCACGAGCCTCATGATAAAATAAACAGAAATGGGTTGATTTAAGATGTAAGAGTTAGTTAATAAGAAGCCTGAGCTAATAGGCCAAAGAGTATGTAACTAATATTAAGCCTCAGAGTAGTTATTGTATAAGCAGTTTTGGGAACAGGTGGGCAGAGAAAACCTGGTTCAGGGGACCAGTAGGACGGAGAATATCTGTAGCTACAATTTGTGAACCCCACGAACCAAAAACAAACAAACCTCCTGGGCAAGATGTTTTCACCTGTGTAATGGTGGTGTAAGTGCTATGGAGTTAACCAAGTGCTCTCAGACTGGACCAGGTTCCCATGGAAAGCTCCAAACCCAGATCACAGACAACTCTGGTTAAACTCAATAAATCACAAAGCAAACAGACACAAATGTGGGAAAAGAGGGGGATGGGAGAGGGTGGAGGCTGAGAGAGGTAACATTTGGTACCTGTGTAAAATTGTCAAGCAACAAAGTTAGACTCGAGGATGATAGGAAACACTTGACAAGGAAGATGAATGTCTGACCTGTGAGCGTTCATAATGGACACTTCTCAAAGGAGGTTCATGTCAGATTAGATAAGAAGTATAAAGGAAACAAAGTTATCACTGGATCGCATTTCTTTGAGATCCTTTGAGATGGTATCAGTTCTCAGCACTCAAGTACTGGTTCAAGTGAAATCTTTAATAGAGTGGAGGAAGTGAAAATAAACCTGGGAAGGAACACACAAACTAGTGCAGGGCTCACGCTGATCTCTAGCAGGTGCTGCAGGCGGCTGCAAGCAACTCTTCCCACCCATGTCTCTTTGATGTGAATGCTTTAACAGCAAACACACATCATTTGAGCTACCATCGGCACACATTTCTAAATGATTGGAGGAAGTGGATGGATTTACAAGTGGAGAGCAACTACAAAGGTAAAATACAGAGACTGTGAGGACCTGACTTTGCAAACTCCATTTTAAAGAAGGGCTTCATCTTAAGCCACATAATGAGCTGGGGGTGGGAAATCTCAGCTCCAGAAATGTGCTGCCATAGCAGGAATTTGAACAGACGCCCTAAAAAATTAAGAAGATAGGGAGCAGGGTCATAAAATACGACAAGGTCCAGATGTTCTTGAGAGGAATCCTGTTCTTGAAGATACCTAGTCAATTATTAATGACTCTTTGTTACGTTTTCATGCCCAAAAGCTGACCAATGGGTGGTGCAGGAGAATTGTCTGTATTCTGTCAATCATGTTTTAAATAAATGCTGATTGGATAGGCAGGAAGTATAGGTGGGAAAACCAGACAGGAAGTAGAGGTGATGCAACGAGAACAGGAGAATTCTGGGAAGGAGGAAGCTGATTGCTACCAGACCACCAAGGAAGCAGGATGTGATCTGCCACCTGAAAAAGGCACCGAGCCATATGGCTAACATAGATAAGAATAATGGGTTAATTAAGTCATAAGAGCTAATAAGCCTGAGTTAATGGGCCAATCAGTTTATAACTTATAGAGAACTCCGTGTGATTTTCTTTGGGGCTAAACATCTGTGAGAACTGGGCAGGACAGAAAGCCCCAACAAGCAGGCCCCTTCATTTTACAAATGGGTTCAGAAACTACCTTATCCTATGTACTCCTTACCCAATTCCAAAACAACAGGACGCCCCTGACTACGGCATTAAAAGTTTATCCCTTCCCTGGGTTTGGGGCTGCACTTCCTTCACCCACTGAATTGGTGTGGTGGAGATGGAGTCCAAATTCAAGTTTGAGTATTATTAAAACCCTCATGTAATTTGCATCAGAAATCTGACTCCATGAATTCATTTGGGGACCAGAAACTTGGACAAAACAAAACCAAGTATCATTGAGTATACGCAGGGTATTTAAAAAACATTTAGAAGCATATTAAGTATGAATTATGCAGAAATTTTGCAAATTTAGTGTGTCATTCATATGTGATCTGACCCCTTTGTAAAACAGGTACAGAAGGAAGCTTTTAGTGACATACCCCGATGACTCAGTTTATGCCTTGCTGGGGATAAGTACATTTCAGATCTAAATTGACAAAAAGGTTTCATTTGCAGCAGTAGGGTGAATTTCCAGCACTGGGAAGGGCTAGATGACTCAAGCCATGTTCTTGAGATGGGGAATAAAGGTGACTGCTGCCGCAAGAGAACACGGCATGGAAAGCTGATAAAAGGGCTTACTTACAAAAAAGGAGGGTTTGCTAACTAAAAATGCTGCAGCCTTTGACAAACTGGGTCCTCCACAGTCAAGTTCAAGCATGGGTTAGCTCCTGATGGTTTCTCAGTAAAACAAAGAGTCTAGATGGGTGGTGGGGGTAAACAACTTTAATCCCAGCACTTGGGAGTTCAAGGCCAGCCTGATCTACAGAGTGAGTTCCAGGACAGCTAGGACTGCTACACAGAGAAACCCTGTCTCAAAAAACCAAGGAAGGAAGGAAGGAAAGAAGGAAGGCTGGCTAATGGAGACTGACCAGGAGTTGACCCCTCATGCTAAGAATTACACAGGCACCTTATTCTTCATTCCAGCTTTAGCTTCTCAACCTTCTGGTTATTTCTATTCTTACCATGAAAAGGGGTGTGCCTTTTGGTTGAATGTTCATGTGGAGGAAAGCCCAGAGAAGGAAAGTTAAACTAACCTTCCAACCGCTGTTCATAAAGGCCAGGTGTGGGAGGCAGAGACAGCAAAGCTTCTGAGAATTCTAAGTCTACACACTGGGTCCCTGTCTCAACAAAAAGAAAATAGTGTGTGGGGAGGATTATTGGAAAAGTACGAAATTAAATGATCACAATGACCGTAGATGTAGACAATGCTCAACCACTTTATGGAGAAGAGAAATAATGGACAATACGTGACAAACCCTAATAGACGTTCTAAGTAGCTAGAGAGAACACAGGCTTTACCATACTTGTAGGTGATGCATGCAGGTCCTCCCAGTTTTCTATAACGAGTAAACTTTTAACAAAAAAGGAGAAAGGGAAAAGAAAGCATGCACAAACACATGTGTTACACATATACAAATGCAGGCATGTGCACACACCTTTTTGTCATGCAAAACATTTTATGTATTAAAAGATATTTATTACAGAAACTGCTCTGTAAAACGGTCCAAGCCGGGTGGTGGTGGTACACACCTTTAATCCCAGCACTCAGGAGGCAGAGGCAGGTGGACCTCTGTGAGTTCAAGGCCAGCCTGGTCTACAAGAGCTAGCTCCAGGACAGGTTCCAAAGCTACACAGAGAAACTCTGTCTTGAAAAGTCAAAGAAAAAGAAAAAATGGTCACAAGCTAGGCCACACTAGATACCAAACACAAAAATATTCAAATAATACTTCCTGGCTATTAGTAGGAATCTTTGTCTAATTCAACAAACTTATCATACAGCTACCATGCACTGGACCCAACATCTTCAGATACCCCAAAAATAGTAATAAAGATATAATCAGTTAGCTGGAGAGAGGACTCAGTGGTTAAGATGGCAGAGGATCTGAGTTTGTAGAATATTATTTTAAGATGTGTTACATTGTTTATACTGTGTTTATACTGTGGAACATTTGTTTAATGATGTAAAGATGTCTCGCATTCTTTTATACTGCATTTGTTTAACTCTGTGAAGCTGTGTTGCTTTGCCTGTCTAAAACACCTGATGGTCTAATAAGGAGCTGAATGGCCAATAGCGAGGCAGGAGCAATGATAGGCAGGGCTGGCGAGCAGAGAGAATAAATAGAAGGCAATCAAGAAGTGAAAAGAAGGGGCCAGTCACCAGTCACACAGCCAGACATGAAATAAGAAGGAAAGAAAACGTATACAGAAACATAGAAAGGAGAAAGCCAAGAGCAAAGGTAGATGGGATAATTTAAGAAAAGCTGGCTAGATGTAAGTCAAGCTAAGGCCAGGCACTCATAAGAAATGTACTTAGAAGCTGGGTGGCGGGCCCCCAAAAACCAAAAAGCAAGAAACAGCAACTTGTACTGGCGTTTCCAGTACCCACGTTGGTGGGACCACAACCACCTAGAACCCCAGGATCGTCTAGACACCTGTGGTCTCTGGCACTTGTACTCACATGAATATACATGCACATGCGCACGTACGTGTACACACAATTAAAAAATAATAATAAACAAAAACTTTAGTGAAGTTCTTCCTTACAGTGATAGACAAAGTGGGCTAAAGACCATAAAACCACATCTCCCCTTGACCACCCATCAGAAATTTGAGGAAGAAATCTAGAATGTCACTACCTCCAAATACACACCATGGCGGATAGTACTATTTCTCAGATGTTACCAGCACATTCCTGAAGAACATAAATTTGCCTGTGGGGCAAATGGGCGACCGTGTGATTTGCTTTTGGCTCAGGAGGTTTGAGTAGAAAAGCACAGCAAGGACAGACTTGTGGGCCAATCAGAGTCGTGCCATGGCTCTTTTCCCTTTCATCGTGTGCTCTGGTATGGTGTCCGCAGAAGGCACTGCACAACAGCAACCTTCTGTAATAAACTGGAGATCTGAGGGTGGGTGCTGCACACAGCTTAGCAACAGCTGCCTCCTCCAAGCGATACATGAAAGGTAGACAAGGTCACCTAAGTCAGCAAATAACAGGGTACCAAACAAACCGGTTTGTTTGTTCTCCAAAAGTCCGGGAAGGCTCCTTTGCTAAACTCTGGGCATTTGGAATCCTCTCAGGGCAGTCATAAGCATGAATGAAATTCAAAGAGCACCCTAGAAACATGGCATCCATGGAACACTCCAGAGAAGCACAGGGAAGCGCTGCCCAAGAGTGAGACTGTATTATCTACTTTCCCACAAATTCCACAAACAACCTCAGGAAGGAAGGGTTTCTGCTGAATCAGTTTGGGGGTGCTTACTGCACAGATGAGACGAA